ATTTTAACTGTAGTTAATGTTATAATAACGCCAACATTATAAATTATAATATTTGATATTTAACAAAATACTGACGTTATTATATATTGATGTTACACAATAATTGCTGTCCATGATGTAATAAATTTRTACAAAATACAATTCCATTTGTTTTCTAACTAAATTTTACTTGTAAGGTTAAGTTAGATAACAATAACAACAATAATTAATTAAATATTTAAAATTTTAAATCTAAACGCTTTTCTTTTGACAATGAAAATATTGTTGTTTGAGCACAATGATCATATTTTATTCGGTTTATCGTTATGTGTGTGCATACACGATGACGATACATTACGACATAATTATATAATATCAATTTGTTGGYTTAATTCAATTTTCAAGAGAATTATGAGCATTTTTAAGTTCTACTATTTTATAAATACAAAACTTGTTATTGTCTATCACAATAAAACAAACACAGATATTGTTCTTACCATAAAGTTTTATAGTATTATAATAGTAACTCGATCCACTCTAATTTTTTAACAAAGCAAAATGTGTCCTTCTGCTGAGGGTAAATTTTACAAACATGTATAACGAAGACAACAAATGTATTTGTAGTTCATCTTATCTGGTTTGAACATTTTACTTTTAGCTACTTACATAGTTAAATAATTATCTATAAGTCATATCTGGTATTGATTCAAAAAAATTATCTTTGTTAGAAARTTTTTTAAATTATCATACTAAAACCTAATGTCAACTAAAATTCAGCATAAAAAGATTATATTCATAAGGTATAATAATAAAGTTAGATATCTGATTGCACAGCTTCCCTTTCAAAAGCATAATGCTTGTGCTGATATGAAGAGCTTGATTATGATGTGTTGTAATTTATTTGGCAATGCTAGATAATATTAGTATTGATATAAGTAATAAACATCAACCATGCTTATAATTATTTAAGTAGGAGATATATATTAATATTGACAATGGTTTTATATGAAATTGAGTCTAAAGTTGGTGTAATATTAAATAAAAATTTATTCGTTAAATTTTACTCCTATATTTTACCTATATGAATAAATCGATCATAATGATTATA